GAGGCTAGTTAAAGAGAAAAAAAAAATATATATATATATATATATTCTCTAAAGAAAAGAAGTAATTGTTTTAACCTGATCAATACTATTAAATACAGGGTATGAGGAAGTAAGACCAAGGTTGTAATAACTTGATTTTGTTAATAATAGTATAGATAATAGAAGTAGAGAGAGTGAGGTGTTTAAGTAAATATTGTAAAAGATCAAGATTTACAGAGTCATAGGCTTTACTCATATCTTAAGATAGAAGCTATATTATTTTTTGATTGCATAATGCATCTTTAATAAGGTTATTAAGTATATGAATAGATATAGAGATACTATTATGAGGTAATGCAACATAATTGAATAGTGAAAAAATTGGATATTGTTAGAATATAGAACTGATTCTGTTGGTAATAATTTTTGCAGATGTATTCAATAAGGCTTATAGGACAAGTAAGGTTAAGATCTCTATTGAATATATTTTGCTTTGAAATTGAATATATTCTGCTATATTTCTATTGCTTAGAGACTTGGTTTGAAGTAAGGCAGCAGTTTAAAAGAGCAGTAAGAGCTTTAATACAATTAGAATCTACATATTTAAGTATTTTATAGCTGATGTCTGTGGGACCACAGGCTTTGCTATTAGGGAGTTTTGCTATAGTTTGTAATACTTCTTCTGAAATCAGAAGAGTAAGAGAATTGTACTACTAAGAGTCAATGTGTGGTTGTGGTTGATAATGTGTAGACTAAAAGTTATTGAAAAGATTTTGGTCAATTTGTCAATATGCTGTCCAGTTAAGAAAATGTGATTGTATAGGTTCCTTAATAAGATTTAGATCTGTGATGATTTGATTAGTAAGTTTGATATTAGAGAAGTAGATAGGAGATTGATAATGATTGAGAATGCTATTAATAGCTTGTTTTGGTTTTGAGGAGAGTGATTTATATTTTTTTCAGATGCTTGTTTGATTTGCTGTTAAAGTAGAAGAGAGTTTTCAATTTGTTGGGCTTTATGCAATTGTTTTTAAATTTTTTAAATATGTTGAATCCATAAGTTAGATTGAGAATATTGAAAAGAGGTAAGTAGTTGAAGGTTGCAATGAGATCTTAAGTTAATATTTTAGATTCTGGAATCAATTAAGTTGTTGTTAGATTCTTATTATTATTTTTGATAATTTTAATTATATAACCAAGCTCTTTAAGTGCAAGGTAAAATGAGGTGCAGTAAGATGTATATTTGTAATTATAGCTACATTTTTGAGTTTTTTTATTTGGTATAGTGTGTATTGCTGTATTGGTAATTGAGTGAGTGTTCAATTTTATACCAAGTAGTTTCAATACTTTCATTAGTATTAGTATTAAGAGAAGTGTAATGTAAGTTGAGATTGTAGGTAAGAAGATCAGAAAACTCTGACCTATCTAAATATTAGGATTCTAACAACAACAGTATTTCTTCTTCAGTTTTTATGTTCTAGATAGGTTCCCAAAAATTTAAATTTCTACAATTTATAAAAGGCTTTGAAGCAAGACATATATATTTTAATATATTATACATTCTTCTAAATAACTATATAAGTAATGAGAAAAAAAATTAGTATATATATGTATATTGGCGGAGGTAAATTGTAGTGCACTCTCTATTAGAAGCATTATGAGCGAGTATCTTTTACTAACCACTTTACTGTTTATTCTACTAATACTAACACTAACAACTTATACCTTTTAGGAGGTTCTTTATTATAATTTTTAACCTTCCCAGATAAGTAGAATATTGCATTTATATGTGCATTTATATATTGCTAATACCTGCTAACTAATTCTTTTTTTCTATTTAGATTTTCCAACTGTTTATGCTATCTATACTCTATCTCACCATTTTGATTCATACCCGATTTAGTTGTTGCAATGGTCTTGTGATTGTTGAGTTAGGAATGATTATGCAACCCTCTTCACAAGTAAATAAAATAAAAAACATGTGACAATAATTATTGTAAATATAAAAAAATTGAAATTATCCTGTAAGAGTAGTTTTCATCCTACTATGCCACGTTATAAATAGACTCTATGTATTAAAACAACTTAAATTCAAAACATACTTAATGAATAATTTTGGGAATACACTTAATTTTATTGTAAGTTGAATTGGAATTCTCTAACCACTTGGGTACATTTTAGAATTCTATTATAACCTATGTTTGTTTGGAATCAACTAGATGTACAACATTTACACTTCGAAATCGGGAATTTTAAGAGTAAAAAATAAGTGTTTTTAATTTTAAATCCTTACTAGCGTTAGAGCCCATCATCTTATGACAGGCTATAAGATATGGAATAAATATTGCAAAGACCCCTTATAAGAAATTTTACACGAGTACACATGTCAGCACGAAATATAGCACGTCCAAAGCATTGAATTCAGATAAGTTGCACGGAATCTGCACGCAAGCAAAGTCGCGAACATGTAATTGCATGAAATTTTCTTATGTGCACACGAAATAATGAACGGCTCATACGTAACTATACTGGAAAATGCAGAAAAGCATGTTAAAAAAGCACGCTATTACGTATACTGTTACGCTTTTTTACATGTCTAGGGCATGTTTTCCAACGCACTGTCCCGTGTTATATTCCATATAGTTCTGTATACTCTCGTGATGTTATGTACCCGTGCTTGACCATAAATCCCGTGCACCATTTTTTATAGGGACCGTTATATAAAAAGACCATCGGGGGATTATGCATGAAATTGTTGGATCTGCATTACTATAAATTCTGAGACACTTGAAAAATGACCGAAATGATAAGTTTTTGATATCAATAACTTATTGATTCTGTGCGATAGCTTGTCGATTTGGTTACTGGATAATATGAAAGCAGCTGAAACACCGCTTGTATGGAGTCTTTGCTAACGGAAATCAAAAGTTTTTCCCGTTACCGCACGAATGTTACACGAATATGCAATGTGAAACAATCTAATTTATAATATAGATTAAAAACTGTTCAACCATGATCGAAACTTCAGTAGTTCTAGAAAACCGGTAGAATTTTTTTTTTGTGCTACCTAGGAGGATTATTAATCGACCTAGGAAGATTTGACGATATAGCAATGTCGAATTTTTTTACATGATATGAAGGTTAAAAGTTTTACAGTCACAAATAAAAAGGTTAATCTGCGTGCCACAGAATTCTGGTAAAAACTAACTGTAATTTTAAAATTTTTTGTTAGTAGCATATTTTTTAATGTATATGTCGCGCATCAAATTAAAATTTGCGTCAGATTAAAATTTAAATGAGGAGTTTTTTAGGGTAAGGGCGGGCTTCTATGTTGGGTATTAGCGGAATTATAATGATTTTAGTCTGACGCAGATTTTAATTTGACGCACAACATATATATAAAAAATTTTTTTTGATATATAAAAATGATCTACCCTTAATTATTGTCACGGCTGATCTGATTTTTGGAGTTTTAATTTGGATCCATTACGCCTATTAAGTTCTAACAATTTTAATCCCGGACTCTAGTTTAACTATTACAAAAAAGTAAAAAAAAATGTACCTCCCAAAATTAAAATTTGTATTAAAATAAGTCTATAAACATCAGCCATGACAATTATTAAATAGTATGAATTGCATTCTTAATTGGCCATTCTTCTCCTGGATATTTTGATCCCAATTTCACATGGATTCGAATTCTTGAAACCGTATTAGTATCTAACATATGAAGACCACCTATCAGAGGTGTCTTTTACGTGGCGATATACAAGTTTATAAATTACTTTTTTTTTGTTATTTCCTAAATTTAGCTTTATTATTCATTACTATTTCGAAGTTAATAGATAGTTTAACATGCACTATAAAGGTCATAAACTAAAGCTTTATGTTATATTTTTTACACATCTCAATAGCCTGTTCATGTTGACTATAAGCAGCCATCCTCAAAAAATTTTCACCTTTCACCAAATCTTTCTTAGCTCCGTCTCCATGATAGTAAATATTTCCTAATTTATACATTGCAATCGGATTATTGTTAGCTGCTTTTATGTAATATTCTATAGCTTTACTTATATTTTTATTTGCGCCTACACCGTAAAACATACAATCACCATACATCAACTGTGCATCAACAATATCTCCATCTGCAGCTTCTTTAAATAATTGTGTGGCCTGCTTCTCACGCATCTCTCTTCCTGGTTCTGGCCAGTTTAGAACGTTATGATAAAGAAAATAGGCTTTCCAGTATTTTGCAGTAAAGTCTCCTATATTTGCATATACATCAAAACAATTCCATGCATCCAATTTATTGCCATCTTTTTTATTAAATTCTTCGATTGCTTCTTCAACAGAAATGTCACCAAATTCATCAAAATTGATGGAAATTTCAGGTTCTTGGTTATAAAATTCGTCAGTTGGATTGACATCAGCGCTCGAAAAATCAAATTGTTGTTTGCTTAACTCTTTAAGAGTTAAAAATATTTCAGTAAAGGATGGTCGAAAATTTGGATTTCGATTCCATGTATCTATTTTGTACACAAGATTAATAAAGTTAGTAAACTTAGATTAATAAACTTAATGAATTTATAAACTTAATAGACTTGATAAAGATAACCTTTTACTAAATATTTCCATTCTTGAGGAATTCTACCTTGAGAAAACTTTTCACAACATTGTTCTTCAGTAACCTTATGGATTAGCTTTTTAATATCGCTTTCATCCTTGTATGGAATTTTCAGTTCTGCGATTTCCCAAAGAAGCATACCAAAACTATCAAAAAGAAAATTTCAAACTTATCGTTACATACTTGCTGGACAATAATATAACAATTATAGTAATAATGTCATAATTGAAGTTAGTATCTGCTTGAAGTAACAGCAAGCGCTTGAAGTTAAACCTGCCTAAACTTGCTAGCTAAGTGCATGCAGGAAGATCTAATTTCAAGGGCTAATTTCAGTCAGGCTTAACTTCAAGCGCTTGAAGTTACATCAAGCAGGTGCCGACAATAACATAAAGAATGTTATTTACCTATATACTTCACACTTAATGTCATATTTATATTCAGGGTTAAGTAACTTTTCCGGTGCCGTGTATCGAATGCTTTGAATATCTAAACCAACATTTCTGGTGGCAGTGACAAACTCTTCACTTAATCCAAAATACGCAATTTTCGCATGTCTGTCAATAGTAATTAAAACGTTGTCTGATTTTACATCACGATGCAAGATCTTTATTGATGTTAAAAAATTCAACCCATGTACCACATCTAGTGCAAATTTCAATTTTAAATCAAAATCCACATCATGGTTACTATAATATTCTTTCAAATTTCCAAATTCGGCCCATTCTGTCACTAAATATAACACATTACTTTCTTTGGCTAGACCAAAAATTTTAATAATTCCATGGCAATTATTTATGCGTTTAAGAATTGATACTTCAAAGTTATGTGTATCATGAGAAATATGCAATTCTTTGAACGATAATTCAACACCATCAATTTTTCGAGTTCGTTTTACAATTTTTCCACGGAAGGTTTCTGGAGAACTATAATCTTCCATTTTTAAAAATTCATCACAAACTGTATTAATAATCTGGGATGTGTAATGACGCTTTTCAAAAGTATTTTTAAGTGTAACAATTTCACTAATATGATTATTAATTTTGTGATCTAAATCTGTAATATCACCGCCGATATTATCTAAGTACTGATAAAAGATTTAAAAAAGATTTAAAATTGGTAAATGATTATTATATTATTCCTAGAATATAATACAATATTAAAAACCTTTTTAAGGAACTCCGCATCTTTTCTTAAAGCTTCATTATCTTTTTCCATCTGATGCTTATTTTCGATAGAAGTAGAAAAATTGAGATCTTTCATATGTCTGTCAAAGGTAGACCTCAGCTTTTGAAAGGTTTCTTCAACAGTTCCAAACTGAAGGTATTTTTGAAGTCCAATGATTTGCGAAATCTCACCAACAAAATTTTTATCCTTTTAACTGTGTTGATGAAAGTTATAAATGTGGCGTAATTTTTTTTATCAAATACTAGTTCCCGAATAGCTTCTTCTGCGTTTCCGACCTAAATAAACTCTGTAAGCTAAAAAATAGTATGCATTAAAGAAATAAAAGAATATAGAAAATTAACCCTATCCGATAAGACACCACATGTCTGCTTGTAAAATTCCGCAATTTTGTAAATATTTTTAATTTCTTTATATGCATTGTTGAAGTCTTGGATCTTCGGTTTGAATTTAAAAAAAAGTTTTACATCTATCGATTTTAAGATCGGGTCAGTATCCATAATTTTGGTCGTTGATTGAACTATATTAGGGACTGAAAGTGGGCTTTTTATCGAACAGCATATAATATAATTAGTTACTATTTATAACCGAATATTTTAAGATTTTTTTTTTAAAAAAAACATTACTTTTCAATTGATTTGATTTTAATGTTATTTTCAACGAATGCAACAGATGCATTGGACGATAAACTGTCTAGCTCTTTTAAAATGATGTCCAATGCTGGACGCTGGTTAGGATCATGAGACCAGCATTTTTGAAAGAGACTGACGTAACCTATGGGTGTATTGTCTATAGGTTTTTCTCTTACTCCCCGTATAATTTCTATAATAATTGTAAAAGGCGATAAATTTTCAAATGGGGGAATTCCACTTGTGAGTTCCCAAAATAGTACGCCTAGACTATAAATATTTGATGCTTCTTCTACTTTTACTTCTTGCGTGAGACACCATGGGTCAACGTAAGCAGCCATTCCAGCAATGCTCGAGTTTGAGATAGTATAATTATTCAAATTTTTTGATAATCCAAAGTCTGAAACTAAAGCTCTGCCATTATTTATCAGAATATTTTCAGAATGCTAGGAATTTATAATCATATTGTGATTACTATATCCTAAAACGTCAATAATAATAGATAAATTAAACATTGTGAGGACGGAAAAACGTGACCTAATAATCGCTGCGCCAACTCACGTTACCCGGTTTTGATGATCGATAACCAAAA